GAAAAGAACTGAAACAAACAAGCAGTCAAGGACAAAAAGTCATACACCAAATGGGCATTATATTTTATGAATTGTTTTACATCTTTTTATTCTGTAAAATGTGCTAAAATTAAATTTCTTGTTTCATTGATTTCTTGTTTCATTGCAAATCGACAACGATGATATTTGTGGGGATATGGACAGAGAATTATTTATGGCTCCAACTGTCTATAAAAAGCATCAGGCACTTCGGCTTGTGGAAGCAATAGACCTCGTTCGACAGCATGAATGCCAGATGGCTGAAATGGAGGAGATCATATATTTCTTGAAGGCGGAAGCGTTAGAAGACAAGGATAAGGTGATCAGGCTGCAGGGCCAGCTGCTTGTGCAGAAGGACAAAGAACTACAGTTGTTTGAGACGTCGGTCAAGGTGACAGTGCAAACAATGGTGGAGTCTGGGATTCAGAGCTACAGTGCAGCTGTACAACAGAACAGTGCAAGTGGTACAGTCTGCAACAGTAACATCCTGAAGAAGGTGATGAAGAGTGTGGCTGCAGAGGAGGACAGGAGCAAGAACCTGATTGTGTTTGGGTTGAAAGAAGAAGAGGGAGAACAGCTTCCAGCGCTACTAACTGCAGTTTTGGAGGAGATTGGGGAGAAACCTCACTTCGAAGCGACTAGAGTCGGCAGGAAGAGGCCAGGTAGTACGACTATCCGACCAGTCAAGATCACTGTCCCAAGCTCAACAGCAGTTCATCAGATTCTGATGAAAACAGGGAGACTGAGGCTGGCTGAGGCACACAAAGATGTATGGATCTGTCCAGATAGATCTAGCGAAGAACGAGCAACGAGGAAACATCTGGTTACTGACCTGAAGAAGAAGAGGGCTGTACAGACGAGGCATGGCTCCAGCCGATTATTCTTGGGGTTGGGGTGCGGACTAGGGGGCGGAGCCCCCAGCGGGGGGCTAGGGGGCAGAGCCCCCATGTGGGGGTCTAGGGGGACGAAGCGCGAGCCCCCCGGAAAATTTTGCGTTTTTAGCAGCTAATAACCTTACCAGAAAGTGTCTGAATTAACTTGAAGAGTTCAATAAAACATAATGTTTTAAATGTGAAAATAAAGGCAAAAATATTTTTATAACAATTAAAACATAATTGACACTGGGACTGTTCAATTCAACACAACTCTGCGGTTACTTTCAGCAAACTTGTCAATAATGACAGCAATGTCTATAGCTTTGACAAGCTCCTTTTCGTGGCTGAGAAGGGTAAGGTTGCTTGTCCTCTCGTCATTCAGCCTGAATGAATTTTTATAATAAAAACCCTGAAAAATCTTCAGAATTAGCTGATTTTAGCGTAAAATTGCCCTAAAATTAATTTTTGGGATTTTTTTCTGGGGGGTGCGCACCCCCCCCCCCTGTGGAGCCATGCCTGGTCAACAGACTCATCTCGACCACTATATCCGGTACGGGAAAGTCTGTAGCCGTGATAAGAAGCCACCATGAAGCAATTCATGTCTCTCGGACACTGATCAGTATTTGAATGAGTATTGTGTATCTTAATAGTTTTCGGACGTTATCTGTATTTGAGAGACAATTTTATAATTTATACCCTTTATATACTCTATTTCTTGATTGTTTCACACTTCATATTTCATAATTTTATTACTAGGTGGAGGTGACGTTATAGAGACTTTGGGCGGCCATAAAACTCGTGTTTTGAAAGTTGTCCTCTGTACTTGTTTCACTGACCCACGCTTTATAGCATTTATACATTTCGGCCCATTTTATATGTTTGTTCGATTTGCTGTACATTTGTATATTTGCTATTTTGTAAAACTTTCAAATCAACATAAAAATCAGCTACAGAAGGTAAATGAGGGTGACTGCCTCTACCCCAAGACTATAACAGGTGACTAAGCTCGGCTTGACGTATCTGCTAGAGGAGTTTGGACTCCATTTGATAAGACCTTTCTTGACATAAGGGTTTCACACCCCAATTGATTATCAAACAGGACAAAAACTCTCCAAGAAGTATACAAAGAAAAGGAGAAGAAGGACAAGTACTTGGAGAGAGTGTTGAATGTGGAGAAGGCTACCTTCACCCGGCTGTATTCCTCACATCTGGAGGAATGTCTAAAGAGTGTAAGCAGTTCGTCAACAGAGTAGCAGACCTCATAGCAAGAAAAAGGAAGGAGAGATACTGCGATGTAGTGAACGAGGATAAGATTTGCAATGTTGAGAACTACTCTTATTGCTCGACGAGGGTACCGAGGAAAGAAGGTGGACACCAAACATGAGATCCATCTATCAGAAGTCTCATCCCTGCAGCTGCCCCTATAATGGAGTAGATCATGTGTTTTGAAACTTGTATATATTTGATTATTAAAGTTTTAAAATATTGGTAGCAATGTATTGTGCTCCGCCAATTGCAACACTAAAAATGTGATTATGCTCTGCCAATTGCATCACTTGATTTAATTGAATTAATGTCCTTATAACAAAAAATATATGGAATGAGCTGCCTCTTGAAATTAAGATTTGCATGTCACTGGACTTGTTTACAGTGTATCGGAAAACGTGCTTAAGATGTTAATTAATTTATTTAATAAACAAATTTTTATTCGTCAATTATGAACAGTAAATTGGTCACCCCTCTCTCCCTGAATAGAACGGCCATATGCACAGGTGTACAGTAACTGTATATATACAATATATACATTGTTTTAATTGTTCAAAATATAATGCTCCTGCTTTGCATGAGCACAGCAGTTGAGCACTTTCTTTGGGAAACCAAACAACTACTATTTATTAATATATACTTCGAAGAAATTTAGACGATTATCATTCCACAACCAAGACGCGCGCAATGTTCTACTCGTCGACGGTATAATAATTGGCACAAACATTTTACGAGTATCACCCGATAATACAGGAACCTGGTTACCTGGGGACCCCAGGCTATTATGTTCGTAAACATAGTCTGGCGTAATTGAACCCTGTAAAACGCGCTAACAGGCGCGTTTATGCGATTTTACAATCAAATAATCAGATTTTACAATCTAACTCAGCGCGCGGCTCTTGTAGCGCATACGTCACTTCTTTCTTATTGGTAGTTGGCGTGTACGTGATCTTTTGCACGGCTGTAATTGGTTCTGAATGATCGCGTTAATGCTAGTCATGTTTGTCATACGTTGTATGACCCGCCGCGCACGAGTGCGCGGCTCCCCTGTATCGTAGAAACTCTACAGGGGTATAGTGAAGCGATTCACCTAACCATGTGCTTTCGCGCCACTTCGGGCGCGCTTGTTTCACAAGTCAGGCGGGCGCGCGCTACTGCAAGCGCAAGGGCTCTGGATAGAGCAAGTGAAGCGACAGTGGGGTCACCACGTGATACAAAGTCACGTGCGTTCTAACATCCAATGAGCAGTCGCACATTTTTCAGGGCGATGGAGGTCGTTGACCATTGTTAATGGTCTGGCCCGGCGCTCGCTACTTCGTGCTTTGTAGCACGTGCCATCGGGCTAACATTTCGAGAAGAAAGCGGCGCGCGCTACTTCGAAGAAATTTAGACGAGTAACATCCGTTAAGAGAAGTTGCGCGGCGCAGTAGCGCATCGCGCTACAACATACAAGTTACCAATGCACAATGTATTTTTTACGCTGATTTCGAATATGACCTATACTATTATTATTACGTTGATTGACCATTGACGATGTCAACCCTTCCAATTCGTTGCTCTGCGAATTAAAAGAACAATGATCTAGTCTGATCTTCAATGCGAAGTTGTAGGTTTACAACCTACCAGGACGCGCGCCGAGTTGGACTCCTCGACGGTCACCAAAATGTAATTAGATAGAACGCCAAAATTAGATCGAACCGGTTCGATCTAGGAATTAGATTGTAGATCGAACGCCGGCGCGGCTTTCAATGTATTTGTATATGTATCTCGCGCCGGCGTTCGATCTAATTCCTAGATCGAACCGGTTTGATCTAATTTGTAATTTCTGCGTTCGATCTAATTACATCTTGGTTTGACGGATGTTACTCGTCTAAATTTCTTCGAAGTAGCGCGCGCCGCTTTCTTCTCGAAATGTTGCCCGACGGCAAGTGCTACGAAGTAGCGCGCGCCGGGCCAGACCATTAACACTGGTCAACATCTTGGTTACAGTAAGAATGATAGAAAATGGGGCAAAGGCGTTGCTTTGAGCTGTAATTACAAAAAAATCAAGACACTTATTTTACTTCGGTGTATTCCAACAGCCACATTCAACATTGTTACACAAGTGCAACCAGCCTGAGCCAATTACAGGAAGCCGAAGGATTTATTTGGCCAGTGACGGTTAAGGTAGTGTGTACCATACTTTCTTCGCTTGATTCACGATGTCAATCCTTCGCATCTCGCCGATCTGCATACGTGGTTGCGAGAAGCATTATTTGATGCGCGCGCGACCCAGTAGTGCATCGCGCTACAATTTCTTCGCCCGAGACTTTGCTGCAATGTGCAGCTCCTCATTTAACCCTCACACCCGATTTCTCGAGTATTCGGCTGAGTAGACCACTCAGGATCCTTACTCCTTAGCTGAATATCAACGACGCTCACCCCACGACCAGGCAGACAGTGGGATTCGAACTCGCAACCTTACGTTTGTAATTGTAAAGCTGGCGTTCTAACCAACTGCGCTACCCGGCTGAGAATATAATGTCTGATGATTGGATGTGCCTCAAATTTTTCAGACAGATTCCTTGTTAGTCTATCAGTATCATTGCTACACTTTGTATACTCTCTCGTGCACTCTGGCCGGCCGCCGCGCGCGATCAAAAGGGGTTGCAGCGTGTGTCAAATCTCTCAGTAAGCTAACCGATTATTGTTACAATTGGATCGAGGGAGTTATTCAATATGCATTTGTTTCAAGAATTTTTTGCTGGCTGAAATTAGCGCTAAAAAACCATCCTACAGTCGGCTCACTTTCGATGGCGCACTATTTATATTACTACCTACTCTAGGATTCGAGTTAGTTTTGGTTTAAAAGTAATCGTGAAGATAGTATAAAGATTTGAAGTACAAATTTGTGCTCCTTAACCATTAACTTTAAATACTTATCATTAAAATCGAAATCAACATTTACAAATGTACACAGAACTGAGAACGGTCGAAATCTAATCGCGCCCGGCGAAACCACGATCCATGATACACAATACAGCCGCGCACTCGTGAATATAAACTTCAAAACTTAGGTGCCGAAATTCAGTATTTACCTTACACGGCACACGCCAGTGTTCATGCGCACGATGCACTCTTTAACTTTTCAAACTTCTTGTTCAGTAGTACTCGATCAAGACTAGCAAACCAGGTAAATTCAGTAAGAATGGTTTCATAATCACAAAATAAATAAATATTTTATATTGTTTGTTGTTGAAATTCTAATTTATTTCGTTTACCGCGTGTAACTAAACATACGTTGTACGGTACGTACAATTACACCATTAATGATGCAATACTAAAAATTATTTTAAAAATCTCAAAATCTCTATGCTCTAACAACATCCATATCTACACAATTATTTATATAGAAGAAAATAAGGAATATTCCTTATTTAATCCTTAACGCAATAATTAAAACCTATATGCTAAATTGCAAAATTTTTGTCTCATCATAAATTATAATATTAGCAATTAGGAAGGAAC